TAAACATGCAACTGGGAGTCTCTGCAAAGGGTGGAGGGGACAGAAGAAATATTTGAAAAAATAATGAAGGAAATCATTTCCAAATTTGGTAAAAACTACAAACTCACAGATCCAAGAAGCTCAACAAACCCAAGCCCAAGAAACATGAGGAAATGACACCTCCACAACTCATAATCAGATTGCTCAAAACCAGTGATAAAGAGAAAATCTTAGAAGCAGCCAGAGAAGAAAGACACACTCTGTACAGAGAACAAAGATAAGAACGATTGCAGACTGAAACCATGCAAGCCAGAAGACCCTGAAGCAACACCTTTAAAGTACCAAAAGAAGAAAAACCCTGTCAATGTAGAATTCTATACCCAGCAATAATAGCTTTCAAAAACAAAGTTGAAGTAGGGCTCAGCCCAGTGGTGTAGTGATTAAGTTTGTGTGCTCTGTTTTGGTGGCCCGGGGTTCACAGGTTTGAATCCTGGGCGTGGACCTACACCACTCATCAAGTCATGCTGTGGCAGTGTCCCACATACAAAATAGAGGAAGACGGGCATGAACGTTAGCTCAGGGCTGATCTTCCCCAGCAAAAAGAGGAAGACTGGCAACAGATGTGAGATGAGGGCCACTCTTCCGCACCAAATAAGGAAAAAAAAAGTTGAAATAAAGACTTTTTCAGACTTTTACAGAAGCTGAAAGCATTTATCACCAGTGTATTTGCACTGTGAGAAATATTCAAAGGATTCCTTCAGGTAGAGGGAAAAGGATACCAGACGGAAATCTGGATCCACACCAAGGAATGAAGACCACCAGAAGTGTTAACTATATGGACAAATATATGACTTTTTTTCTAATGACTTACATCTTTTAAAATATAGCTGGTTATTTAAACAAAAATAATGGCAATGTGTTGTAAAGTTTGTAACATACATATAAGTACAATGCATGATAACAGTAGGGAAGGCCAGGGCGGGGGAGAAACGGCAGTATAGCTATACTATGTGTGAAGCGGACTAATATTACTTGCAGGTAGACTGTAAGTAGCTAAAGATATAGACTATAAACTCTAAAGCAACCTTCAAAATAGCAAAACAAAGAGCTAGGGCTAATAAGTCAAGAATGGAGGTAAGATGGAATAATAATAATTTATTAATCCAAATCCAAAAGAAAGCAAAAAAGATGAAAAGACAATAAAGAAAAAAATGGGAAAAACAAACAAACAAAATACTGAAATGATAGACTTACACCTAACCTATACTGGGTTAAAGTTTGAAAACCAACCAATGTAATTCATCAAATTAACAAATTAAAAAAGAAAAAGCATCTTATCATTTCAACAGACACAGGAAAAGAATTTAACAAAACTCAACATCCATTCCTAATAAAAACTGTCAGCAAACTAGCAATAGAAAGGAACTAGGAATAGAAGAGAATCTACAAAAAACCTACAGCTGATGTCATGCTTAGCAGCAAAAGGCTTACTTTCCCTTTAAGAACAGGAACAAAACAAGGAAGTCAGCTCTCACCACTTCTGTTCAACGTTGTACTGGAGGTTCTAGCCAGTGGAACAGGCAAGAGAAAGAAATAAAAGACACCCAGAGAGGAAAGGAGGAAGTAAAACTGTCTTTATTCACAGACAACGTGATCATCTATGTAGAAAATCTGCTGAAATCTAGAAAAAATCTACTAGAACTAGTAAGTGAGTTTAGCAAGTTTGCAGGATACAAGATTGATATCCAAAAATATCATTTTATTTCCATACACTAGCAACAAACATACAGAAACTGAAAGAAAAATACCATTTAAAATAGCTTAAAAATATGAAGTACTCAAGGATAAGTTTGAGGAATATGTGCAAGACCCATACACTGAAAGCTGCAAACCACGGATGAGAGAAATTTAAAAACTCCTAAATAAATGGAGAGACATACTTGTTTATGAGTCAGAAGACTCAATATTGTTAAGATGTCAGTGATCCCCCAAATTGATCTATAGATTCAATGCAATCTTGATCAAAATCCAGCAGGCATTTCTTTTTTAAAAATTCACATGCTGATTCTAAAATTCATATGGAAACTTAAGGGGCCTGGAATAGCCAATACAACTTTGAAAGATAAGAACAAAGTGGGAGGGCTAACATTAGCTGATTTCAAGACTTATCCTAAAGCTACAATAATCATGGTGTTAGGTATGGCATGAAGACAGACGTCTGGATCAGTTGAACCCCAAGTCCAGAAATGGACCTACACACGTATGACCACTGATTTTTGACAAGGCTGCAAAGGCAATTCAATGGAGAAAGGACAGACTTTTTAATAAGTAATATTGAAATCAATGGACAGATTCAGTTCAAAAAAATGAACTTCAATCCATACCTTGTACCATTCACAACGATGGACTCCAGATAAATCGTAGACCTGAATATAAAATCTGTAAAACATCTAGAAGAAAGTACAGGAGAAAAAAATCTTTGTGACCTTGGGTCAGGCTAAGATTTCTTAGATACATCAAAAGTATAACCCATAAAGAACAAATTGATAAAGTGGAATTTGTCAAAAGTAAAAACTTTGGCTCTTCAAAGGACACTCTTAAGAGAGAAAAGATAGACCAATTAGAAGAAAATATCTGCAATGCATGTATCTGTAAAGGACTTGTATCCATTATATATAAAGAACTCTCCAAACTCAACAATTACAAAACAAACACAAAATAAAAAAACAGGTAAAGATTTGAACAGACACTTCACCAAAGAAGATGTACAGATGTCAAACAACCACATGAGAAGATGTCTAGCATCATCAGTCATTAGGGAAATGCAAGTTAAAATCACAATGAGATACTGCTACACACCTGTTAGAATGGCTAAAATTCTAAAAATGACAACACCAAGTGTTGGTGAGGATGTAGAGCTGTGATTCTCACACATGGGTGGGTGGGAATGTGAAATGGTACAACCACCTTAGAAAACAATTTGGCATTTACTTAAAAAGTTAAATTTATGCTTACCATGGGATCCAGCCATTTCACTTCTATGTATTTTATCCAAGAGAAAAGAAACCGTGTGTCTACACAAAGACTTGTGCACGGATGCTCGTAGCAGCTTTATTTGTAATAATCCCAAACTAGAAACAACCCAAATCTCCTTCAAGGAGTGAATGGATGAACTATGGAACATTCACGGCATGGAATACTACTCAGCAGTGAAAAAGGAATGAGCTGTTGATGCATACCACAACCTGGATGAACCTCAAAATAATTATGCTGAGTGAAAGAAGCCAAACAAAAAAGAGAGTACATTTGGTCTGATTCTATTCATATAAAACTCTCAGGAATACAAACTATTCTATGGTGACAGGAAGCAGATCAGTGCTTGCCTGGGAAGAGGGGACTGGGAAGGGGCCAGAGGAGGTGATTACAGGGGCACAAGGAAACTTTTGGGGGTGATGGATATGTTCGGTATCTTGACTGCAGCGTTGATGTCACAGGTATAAACGTACGTCAAAAATTATCAAATTACACACTCTAAATATGCGTGGTTGATTACATATACATTGTACCTCAATAAAGCTGTTTAAAAAACCAAATGTGCAGAAACCCCAGCTCACGAGCCAGACAGTCCCCCGTATCACTCCTCAGAGCACAGAGGGACACCTTCTCCTACAAACAGATTCCCCTGAGGACTCTGTTGGATGCTTCCCCATAAAACAAGACTTGGTTTACAAAGACGGCGTCTCATGATGGCTGCGGTGTGAAGCAAGACCCTCCTTGTGGTCACTACTTGAGTGAGCGCGTGAGACCAATGCCAATTGCACTTTCTTGGTCTCCCCATGGAGAACTGCATCGGACACTGACAGAGACAGGAGGGCTACTTGCTGGGGACCCTGTCCTGCATCACCCACGGCCACACGAAGAGGACCCCTGAATCTGCCTCCCGGTCCCCATCCTGATGGAAAGCCAGTGAGCAGGGCCCGAGCTGTCCACTCCACACAGCCCCGTGTGGCTCTGCAGTGACAGGCTTCCAGGAAGGAAGCTCCTTGGCTGAGTCAAGCTCCATTTGGCCAGTGCCTACTTCTGAGCCAAGGGTGGGCTTGGGCATAAACAGTACAAAAGAGATCGCCACAGGAAATTCCCAGTGTTTGGCTCTGGAGGACGCCAGCCTCCTCCCACACCAGCAGCTTTACTCTCCGTTTCAGGTCTGCGGAAGACGCTTTGCTGTCCTGTGCACGCGTGGCCTGAAACCCAGGGAGCCGGAGAGGAGAAGCCCGCCGGGGGCCCAGGGCTGCAAATACACGGCGAATCTGCAGTTTCTAATTCTGTTCACGACTAGCATACATCACTCTTAGAATGAATTTTTTCCCCAAAGTAAAACTCCATGAGTGACTCTACAAAGGAGATCCTAGGGCAGGTGATGGTGGAGGGCTGGCTGCAAGGGACACACGGCCGAGGGCTCAGGTCAGCAGTGTCCGGTCCCCTTGTGGGGGTCTTTGTTGGAACCTGAGCCAATTTCTGCCGCTCCATCCCCGAGGAGACCAGGCCACGGAGGGGAGTTGGAGCACCTGGGCCAGGGAGCCAGGGCTGCCCTTGGGTTCTGAAGGCCTTGCAGCCCAGGGGGTGCACACCTGTGCACTGAGGACCTGGGGTTGGGGGGGCAGTCGTGCGAAGTGGGGAGGGCTGGGGAGGAGGACGGAAGGACCAGGAAGGAATTGAACTGCTTCTCTGGCCAGTCGGAGTTGCTAAGCAATGTCACCTGTAAACAAACTCCTGTCCCCTCGCTTCCCTTCTGGCCCCTCTGGCCTCCCAGTCCTGCCACATTTGGGGCCGGCCCATTGGAGATGAGAGAGGAGATGTCATGGACATGCTAAACAAGCCAAACCCAACCCTCCAAGCCCCCCTCCCTCCAGCAAATAGGAAACCCCAGAACCCCCGGCATTCATTGTCAGCAGCTCACGAGATGTTCAACATGCTCAGGTCTGTCAAAAACTATTCACGAAAAAAAGAGAAAGTCTTTATACCTTTTATTCAGCCAATTTTTCCTGAGGCACTGTGGGCTCCCTAAGAAAAGAGAAAGAGAGAAAGGAGAGAGAATTACAAACAATGTCGCCGTCGCACATCTGGTTGCTGGCTGCTATTTGCTCACTGACTAGTGGAGTCTGGAGGAGGACGCATTATCTCCCTGGGAGGCCAAGGAAACCTGCCCAGGTTAAACCCTTCCGCTGTTTGCACCGCTGGCAGGGCTGGCGGTTGGCTTGTTATTTAACAGGCAAAGACAAAGGAAAACAGAGCACCGCGGGCCTGTCATCCAGATTTTCCAAGCTCGTTTTCTCTAGAACTCACGATATTCCTTTGTGTTGTCTCTCTTTCTTCCCTTTGCCCCAAACTCTGATGGTCCTTTCCTCTTCTTCCCCACCCCCCTTCCTGGTTTTGAGGTTGTCCACAAACAGGGACTTTGCCAATTGATGGTGACAGTGTTTAATCTCAAACTGGGTCCCCCTGTCACTCTGCATGGATTTGTTCCTACCTCCCCAGGTATCATTCTGTGTGGGGTCATGGTGTGCAAATCTATTTTAATATTAGTCAAAGGATAACAGGAGGAAAAATGGATGGGCTGCTGTTGGTTAGAGAGAAATGAGAGAATTCTTACTCCTGGAAGCTGCACATAATTCCAAACAACACATTCTGTGCAGCTTCCAGGAGCTTCCATCAGCAGGAGCAGCTCAGAGCTGAGGCCAGACTAGCAGAGGGCAGGTATTTACTCATTTTATAATCCAGGGACCCAGGGCCAGAGAGATGAAGGCACTTGCCTGAAGTCACAAAGCTGATTCACGGGGCACTGGGGACCACGCACGGGTGTCTGGATTCCTAACCCTGCCTTTTGTCTTAGGGCACTTTGGAGACTAGAAATGAGGGTGTGTGTGTTGTATGCATGCGTGTATCATGTGCTTCTTCTGGACTTAAATTTTCCTTATTTGTTTTAGTAATGTTTCATAATTTTATGTGTACATACCTTACATATCTTTTTATTGTGGTAAAATACTCATAACATAAACCATTTTAACCATTTTAAAGTGTACAATTCGATGCCATTAAGTATGTTCACAATGTTGAGCAACCACCACCACTCTCTGGTTCTAGAACTTTTTCGTCCCCCCAAAAGGAAACCACGTACCCATCAAGCAGTCGCTCCCCATTCCCCTTCCCCACCGCCGTGTGTGTGTATTTTTTTTCTAACAGCGTAACCAGGATAAAAACAAGAGAAAAGATCCTGGAATCAAAAGGTAGTCAGACTGGCCTCTTTCTTGAGCTGTAGAAAAATCGCCATCATTATCATCAGCATCACCGTCAAGAGCAGGGAGCCCTTCTCATTTATTTTGCACATTTTATGTGCCAGGCACTTGACAACTGTTGCCCCATTCAGCCCTCACAACCCGAAGAGGCAGGCACTGTTCTTATTATCCCCATTTCTCAGATGAAAAAACTGAGGTGCAAGTTGGTTAAGCAATGGCACCAGTAGCTGGGACAGCCGGATTTCCCCGGGCAAGTTCCCACTGGGCTACACTCCCTTGCACCCAAAGGCAGAAAGAAATACACTTCTCTGTGGGAAACGGGAATTAAAAATGGAAGCAGAACATTTAACTGCATAGAGCCTGCTTGGCATGTCGTTAGAGTTTGTGCAAATCAAGATGGCTCTATTTCATAGGCAATCCCCCGCCCCCAGCCACGGCAGGGAGGGCTGTGGGCCAAGGCACCGCACAGGGGAGGCCATCACAAAGGAGCCCGGCTGCAGCCTCTGTTGGTTGATCAGCATTTTCCCTCCCTAGCAAAATGGCAAACGCCACTTCTGGCACAACTCCACATATAGCTCACAAAGCGACTCTGAGGAGGGGCTGATGCTGGAAGGCACCGCCAGAGGAAGGCATCATTATAAAATTGGTGGATTGAATCGACCGACTTGTATAAACCCACCTTCAGTTGATTTGGGGGATTTTCTCATTGTTAACTTTTTTCTTTGTTTCTTTTCTTAAAGTGCATTTTCCTCCCAATGCAATTCAATTTAGTTCCATTTGATTCAACACATCCAGCCCCAGTGAGCAAACACATGGCCCGAGAGCAGTCTGCTCTGCTGGGGAGGTGGGAAGGAGAACCCCGGCCGGTCCGGTCTGGCACTTGAGGTGGAGCACTTCCTCCTTCCCTGTTCCTGTCTCCCCTCCACCAAACAACTCCCGCGGCCCCCCTCATTCATCCTCTATTCTCCAGGCTCTATACCCAACCTGAGGATTTCCTCTAAGCGCCGGGGAAGCTTCTGGCCTGGAATTCCCAATCTTTGGGGAACATCACCACAGATCGGAGTTGGCGAAACATCCCCATCCTCATCCCCGCCTGGCCCCGCCCAGTCCGAGTCTCGAGTCGGTCCTAAAGTCCCCTGAGTTCTTCCAAACCTTTCTCATTGTCACTAGTGTCCTTATTTGGTCAAAGCAAAAATACTGGGTATGAACACAGGGTTTACACCTGCTCAGTCCACGTCAGAAGACTCAGGCTGGGACCCATGTCCATCTCCAAAGAGCCTGTGTGTTTTGAAAAACCCGGGACCAGAGGGATGGTCAGGAGGGCCTGTTGACCCTAACGCCTCCACCATTCGTGGCACATGAGGGTCCAGCCTGTTTTCCTAGCGTTTCAGACCAGGAGTCCCCCTGGCCCTTCCTTGTCCTCCATCTGGGTACAGAATCTCCGGGGTAATGCAGTTCTTCCCCATGCTTCCCTGGAGGCTTTGCTGGGTGGAAAGGAATTCGGCCCCCGCGTGCACCCACTGCCGCTGTGAGTCAGATGAAGATGGGCCGAGCACGACGAGGCTTGCCTTGTGTTTCTGAGATGAACATGGGCTTCTCCCTTCCTCCTCCATGCCCTCAGCGTCTCCCGTCTTCCCAGCCTCCTCCCTCTGCTCTCCCATCCGGCCCACCCTGCCCACAGCCCATCTGGGGGAGGTAGGCCGGGGAGGCCGGGGACCTTGCTGACGACGTCTAACTGTGGGCAAGCTCGCGGGTCGGGAATCATGGAGCTGATCCCCAGCCGCGCTGTTGGCAAACACTGCTCTCAGCGCCCAGTGGGATAATCACTTGCGGTGATTTTTCCTCCACGAATCGGGTTCGTGGAGCAGCACAGCTCACTAGGCCAGGGCTGCTGATTTCTCCAAGTGCATTTGTGGAAAGACCTTTCTGCAGAGTCCAAACAGAGCAAGACACGTTCACCAAGCTCGGAGGGTCTCCACCCAGCCCACCCCCCACTGCATGGCCTCCATGTGAAGTCTGCTGAGCTGCAGACTGCAAACTCTGCTTAGGAGAGCCTTGGTGGGCCAAGAGTTATCCAGAGCAGAGCTGCTCTCCATTTTCTGGGGTGGGAACTCCCCACCGCGTGGCACTTGCCTGCCTCCTCCACTAGACTGGGAACCCTCATGGGCAGAGGCTGTATCTTAGCTGCCTCACATCCCCAGAGCCTGGGCAGGGCCAACACAGATGGGTGGATGTTTGCTGCACTAACGAACCAGCCAGTAAGTGTTTGCCTTGAGGATCGGAACTGCATTACTGTTTTGAACAGTGGGGTTGGGTCCTTCTAGATTGATCTCTGCTTCTGGATCCCCGTCATGGAGAGAGATTCATTCACTCAAAGGGACCATTTCCCACTGCCTCCCTGGCTGCTCACTTCTCCTTTGCACCCTAAACTCCACCAGCTCATAGCCTATCCCCCCACCTTCACTCTGTTCCCCCTGCGATGCGGATTCCACTCAGCTTTTCTCCGAAATTCTTCTCAAGAGCATTGGTTTCTGCCTTTATTCAACTCCATCCCATTGATGGAGGTCTCCCTCTCTAACCCTTTTCTCTTCCATCCATAAAATATTTTGTTCTTCAGAAATTAAACTGCCACTTGCTTGCATCACCCTTGAAATTAAAAGAATGTGTGGCTACTAATAAAACCCATTTTTAGAGTGGATCATGCAAAATGATTTGCCAAAAAAACTCCCTTAACGTAACCCAGACCACTCCCTCTTGTTGGTGGCTCCTCCTTTACCATCTCCTGTCGCATCAGGACTTCCTGCCTCCCTCCCCAGGGAGGTGCCAAGTTACTTGGTTATGGGGCAGGAAGAGAAAGGTATAGAGAAAGTAGAACACGAATTTATGACTGGTTGTGTCTCCAGCTATTTGCTATAGTCAACCTACTACTAGTAGCCAGCCTGGCTCTCACTTACCCAGCATCTGTTACATGCCAGACCCTGAATATACGTTATAAACCTCAAACCAGCCCCAAGAGGCAACATTACCCCGATTTCCAGGTGAGAAAAGGGATGCTCAGATGCTCTTTCTGATCCGTTTCACTGTAAGTCCGAGCCCCCCGCAAACACCCACCTGCACTTCAGGGGAAGAGGTGTTTGGACAATCCATCATTTAGGAACCACTGTGCACCTTCCTAGCTCCACAGGCAAGAATAACCGGGTCAGCCACAGATGGCTCTGCTCCAGGACCAAGAGCAAGCAGCCCGTCCCAGCAGTGGTGTTTAGGACAGGAAGTGCTTGCTGATGCTGAAGCCACTGAGGAGGCTGACGGTGACAACACAGAAGCAGCCTGGATGTCTGAAGCAGGCAGATGCAGTCTTCTGAGGAAACGCGGTGTCTTGGTCTGCTTGGGCTGCCATAACAAAATACACAGCCTGGGTGGCTTACACAGTCCTGGAGGTCGGGAGGTCCGAGACAGGGCGCCGGTAGATTCCTTTCTTGATGAGAGCCCTCCTCCTGGCTTCTTGCTGTGCCCTCACATGGTGGACAGGGAGCTCTCTGGTGTCTCCTCTTACAAGGGCCCTAATCCCGTCACGGGGGCCCCACCCTCTGACCTCATCTCACCCTCACCACCTCCCGAAGGCCCCACCTCCCAACACCCTCACAGTGGGGGTTATGGCGTCAACATACGAATTTTGGAGGGACATGAACATTCTGTCCATGGCACATGGTTTCCTGGTATTCACTCTTTCCTTTGCTTTTTTCTTTCTGGGTTTTTCCAAATGTGCAG